AATCGTTTTTTTTTCCGTCTAAAATTTAATAAAACATACATACAATCTCTAAATAAACATCTACAAATGTCTCAGACAGCAAATCGAAATGTAAGACATTTTAATGATATATTCTTATGTCTCGATTTTGATATGCATGCTGCGTGGAATATTTCTGATATTTTTTTGTTAAAGAATATATTGAATATTTAATATTTTTTCTTTTTGTTCTGTCTTCTCTCATCTTGGTTTTTCAATTTTTATGATTCTTTTATAGCCATCGACATCAATGTACACTATATAATCATATTCGTTTTCCATGTTCCTCTCTTTTCTCTATATTTTAAGACTTTATATCGAGTTCAGTGTGTATTTTGCTTATGTACATTGCGTTTATAGTAGATATATTTGATTACGAAATATCACGCGTACGTGCGTGTAATGGCGCGTTGCACGTGGTAAATGTAAAAGCACACAAGTCTGCGAGTTTCCTTTCTCATGTTCTCGTTTTCTTTTCGTCGTGACGATGCGATCATCTTCTGCGAAACTTCAGAACGAGAAACTGCGCGAGGTGAGGAGGTCAAAGGAGTGCGAGGTACGGGGGAATAATATGCGACGGCTAGAATCCGTAGTTTCGCACGGGAAGGGAACAATGGACAAGATTAATGGCAAATGGGGCGAGTGCAGGGCAATGCCGAAGGATACGACAGGAGCACGCAGAGGAGTGACTTTGCATAATTTGTCTTGCAGTAATATCTGAAACTCGGTAATACTATATGAATTGATCTGCGAAATTTGGACATAGGAAATAATCTGTGAGAGAACTTGAATGAAGAAATAATAATGAAATACGAAAGCGGATATCTCTGAAAAGCATTAATGCTATTTAAGAAAATATTAAGAAAACATAAATGTCGCTATAAATGATTTGTATCGTTAAGTATTTGCGTCTCACGTGTTTATTTAAATCATTGTTATAACGTTTTATTTCTTTTTTGGTCCTTTTATTTTTCAAATAATTTCTATGGAAAAATGACAAATCAATTTTCTATATAATTAATGAGAAGTTTTTTGAATTTAACCTGTCATTTAAATAATTAATAAAAATATCTAGATTATAAGAAGTTGAATAATAGAGAAAGTTTAAAAATACTTGATAAAATGT